TTGTTTACTTTTCGCCTGCAAATAATCTATTTTTCGAATGGTCCTTCTGTATTGATCCTTTTCTAAATCACTTTGTAACCAATCTGGAATTCAAAGGCGTCCTCCTATTTTTCCCTTATTAAAAGTGAACCGAACTGACTCTGCTTCGATTCATATTTCCTGAAATTCATTAACCGTTAGGATAACTGCAACGGAATTTTTGATAGGCATATCATACAAATATATTTCATAATTGTGTGTTTAATGGAAAAAAAGTTGGGCAAAGCGCATACATAAACATAAGCTGGCTGTGCGATGGGGTGACGAATTATCGAAAGTTGCTGCTCACACCTACGAAACAGGCCATTATTTCAACGTCACAGCCCTCAAGATACTCGCCCACGCCGAAAATAAGACGAGTAGAGAATTGATTGAAGTCTGGTCCACGGATGGAAACTCGATCAATCGATTTATTGTTTCGGCGCCGGTGTACAGAGCTCTGCGCGGCCACCTTCAGATGTGCGTCACTGATAGTTGACTGGTTAACATTCCCTATAATTTCCCTTCCTTTTTGTCGCTGCCTGTTACCTCTGAAGATGAACTCCTGTAAGAGTTTGGAAGCCCAGAACAATAGAAACTGACAGTTCCGACAGCAGCCGTAGCGGTTATCAGTCTTAGGAAGCTAGTATTGTAGGCAAAGACAAGGGAGACTCGAATGGTCATTTCTGGCTAAGTAGTCGTCGTCAGCCAGTCATACCTAACTCCACCTGGTGCACCATCCAAGGTGCTCGCCCATGCAAACTCCTCGAACGCGAAACTTGGCATTTATTTGTTAATACTTTTCTTTATTTCTTAGTTATACTTCACTGCAAACTACTGGCGCATGTCATTTACATCCCAAGGGGGAGAGGATTGGGCTGAGTGGCATAATTTTTTTTCACGCGAATTTTGTTGTACTGACAGCCAAGCTAACTTACCAAGTCTCCGATGCCGTCTGCGATTTCGTAATGGTTCTGCGTGGAGTGGACTGACTCCATCATCGGTGCACTGGGGTTGAGGTTTCCGTCAGCCAGGAGGCAGGCAACCAGGTTCGAACTCCGATCTGCCCAAAAACGATAGGGCATAAGTAATTTCGGTTAAAATTCAAATAGGCACTGGTAGCACATTCATAGAATGGGAACTCTGAAGTGAAAGCAGTCAGAAATCCAAGAACCAGAGTGGGGAGAGGCGTGGGCACGTGAACTTTGAATAGGAGGGCAGTACTAAACTATAGTGTATCTTATATCTGATGAAATCTAAAGATTTTTACAAAGTATTCCCTGGTACGCAAAAGCAGCCCAAGTTATGTCCCCTAAAGTCTTACTGGAGTAAAATAAGTATCCTACTAAAAAGAAGACATTGTAGTCATAGGAATAAGATATTTCATA